TCTGTCACAGCACTCGTAATTCCCTTAAGGGAAATTCTAAATTGAGATAGCAGATATTTTTATTCTTAATGCATAAGATAATATGCAGCTACATGAAACATAAAAAGGAGGGTTTGTGAGTTATAAAAGATAAGCTTCCTTCAGACAGTTTGGTTTATTTACAGTGTGTGCAAGGCTTCCATGGCAACCCCACTCTCACAGAACACATGTTCATCATAAAATGTATGTAACCCTTCAGAACATTCCTGAATATAAAGACGCAAACCCACATTATAGCACACTGACATACTTCTCAGGGAATACCTGGGATCCTCTCTTCTTGGATAACTTTGGGAAATGCTTTATAAATATTTTCTTTTATGTCTTACTTTTTAAAACACATTATTGTATGTATGTTTTAAAAAACTAAAGTAAATTATTGCATTTAGAAGTGATCTAACATTATTTGCTGTGGCTTAGCAATGCAATAACATATAAAAATACAAGCAAAGCAATGCACGGATATTTTATTCCATGCAATCAATCTGTGTATGGGCAAAAAATAATGTTTTGCTACAATTATTTGTCAATCTTTGCTTTCCTAAACCTTACTCTTGAGACCATGTGTGCTGTGGAAACTATCTGCAATCCAGAATATGGAATCTATAACTGACACAAACACTGATTTTGGAAACGAGACTCAGACAAGCATTCCTTAATCATCATTAGTTTCCTCCTGCATCGACATCACTGTATTTCTGGCTGGAAAGACAAGGAAATGGATCTGTCTTAAGAAAAGAGCCAAGAGAAGATTCGGTGTCTTCTCTAGTCTCGCTCTCTTCTTTTATTTTTTAAAGCAGGATGCCCTGGGATCACTTCATCACATTGCTCACATCACTGTGCAATTCTAGATCAAATGACACAGTAAGCATTACATCTCAGTGCTTTCACCTCTTGTACACTCCATGTCCCTGGCTATTTCTTGAATGGCAGAAAAAATGGATGCTGATTATTAGCAGTCTTCAGGCTAGTGGTGTCTGAAATTGCACAGAATGACAATTACAATGTGCTTAGTACCTTGCTGAATTGAAGCTTTAATCAATAACCCCTTTTCTGAATGAATCTTTCTCAGTTAATGTTTTTAAAATAGAAAATAAAGGAAATAGAAATGTTTAAATTACAGAAAAAGCCACAGGGTATCCATGCCAGCCAACAGACCAAGTCACGGGCACCCACAATGCATGTTTCTTTATATGGCCTCCAAATCTCTGGAGGTTTCCTAAACTATAGTATTTGCAATGGAAATGGAAACATTTCTGGTAGTCTGCAAACACACTATTTCCCAACAAATAGATTCACCTTACACAGGACTGATTCTATGGCCAACATTTTCAACAGTGGTGCTAAAAGTTCAGCTCCTACATCATTATTCAGACAACTACATGGGTGGGCTGACTTTCAAAGATGCCAAACACTCCCAGCTTCCATTGTGATCAATAAGTGTTGTGGGTGCCATTTATTCTGAAAATTATGCCATTTATTTTAGAATCCTAAACATGGATTTATTTCTCTAACTTTAGGCCCCATGTTTGAAAATGTTGGCCTTTGTCTTTATGTTGCTACAGTACTCACCAAATCTTCAGCCAAAGCTTGCATCAACAGTGATGTGTTACCCTGCCATACATAGACGGGGAAAGTCTTTCTAGGGAGCGATTGATAATGAAAAGCCTGGATTCCAGCACACCAATGCAAGAGATCCATTAGTAATAATCTGCTACATACTGCAAGTAGGCTATGACAGAGATTGAAAACTTTTGCCTGTAAAGAGATCTATCAGCTCCCTTGTGGGAAGGAAGAGAGGCTGTCGCAATACAAGTCACCTGTCTCCTTCATGTGCCAGCCACTGTAATGAAAAATGAAGCTCGAGACAAAGAAGTAGATGGGGGGGGAAAAAAAACACCATTCTCCCTCCGATTTTCCGTGTGAACAGTTCCATCATCCAGAGCCAGGATCTGAGGCGCAGCAGGGCTGGCTTGGCAGCAGAGAAGCTGAGCCCCAGTGATTCGTTTCTGGCTTGCCCCGTTTTCAGTCTTCTCCCTTTGTGCCTGTTGCCTTCAGATTTGGCAGGGAGCTGGGCCAGGAAGTGGTGGGCACCGTGAGACGCTCGCACCCTCTCCATCCCGCAGTGGGACATCCACCACCCTCCCCACCTCCTGCTCCAGGGACAGTCACACCTGCACCCAACTGCTCCAGACCAAGGGAGGGCTGCAAAGCCCTGCGCAGCCCCCCCGCGAAGGTAGGTGCCCATCCGCTCCCCAGCGGCCAGGGCAGTCCCCTCCCCATGCCTAGGACTAGGCAGCTCCCTGGACGCTGCCCCCTACGCGGAGGAAGGCACCGCGGCGCTCTCCGGACGCGGAGCACAGAGGGACCCTCTCTGCACAGCGGCCGGTTGCTCTGCGACTCCCCGCTGAGCCGGGGGTGTAACACTAACACAGCCCAGCGCCGGCCAGCTTACCCCTCCAGCCCCAGGCCCGGCGCCCCCAGCACGGGCCGACGCTGCCCTGTTCTGCCCACGCGGAGCGCGAGGTGCACGGTGCCCCCTGCCCGATGGCAGCGTGGCTGGCTCGCTCCCC